TATCCTCCTATATCCCTTTGACCAATTCCTCCTCCACCATACTCACATAACCACACATACCACACAAACCATGGACCTCGATGATATCCTCCAATGGATGGATGACGACAACAATGCCCTTGCCTTGCTTCAAGCAACACTAGCCTTAATACTCAAGAATAAGGAGCCAAAAAAAGCGAGGTGGTTCAGCACCTGGACAAAGAGAGATACAACAAAACCAACTTGAAGGCCACCAGCAGCTATGCAAGGATTACTTCAATGAGGATGCCACTTACCCCCCTGAGATTTTCCTTCTTCGATTTATGATGTAAAGGACTCTTTTCCTGAGGATCGTCGAAGATATTGAAAAAGCCAATCAATACTTTGTACAGAATGTGATTCTAGCCAGCTTTTGAGGTGCGGAAAGGATGCGAGAGAACTTGTTGGAGATTGTATTGCAGCATTGAGGGCTCGTATTTATAGACGAGAGATGGGATAGAGACATTGGGTTAGAAAGAGAGAAACACGAGAGGGATGTGAGTAGTCTCATTGGATGAGACAAGTAGTGTTACAAGAGAAATAAGGGGAAGGACCGGACTTGGCTAAGTACGGTCCGTATTTAGCATTTCTAATATACAAGATAATGAGGTCAACAGATAAATAAGAAGCAAGATGAAATAATATAGCCGAGAGCGGCAGACAGTAAATAGGTTAAGGGAATAAGAGAAAGAGAACGACTGAGAGCGGTTGATAGAGTACTTAGCAGCTAGATAAGGCTCCGCTGGGGCCGTTACCTTATCTGGAAGCCGGGGCTTCACATCATCCCCTCTGGATTTCCAAGCCTCCGTGCTTGTTCTAGTTGATTGGGACTCGTCCGCGTAATTGACGGTCGCTTTCGTTGTTGCCCATCAACGTGCCAAATCCTTTCTTGACATTGTTACTGAAGTGTAGTTTGTCTGGTCTGCCGTGATATCTTTTGAGTCTATCTCCGTTGCAAGTGCCTTTAAGAATATATCCGTTTGGGCTTTGCAATCTAAAACTTCCGTTTAGATTAGCTGAGTGAATTATGAAAGGCCCATCCCATTTCGGGTGTAACTTACTTGGCTGATTCTCGAACTTTCTCAAGACCAATTCTCCTGGTCTTAGATTACGCTCGTAGTACTTCGCCTCACTTTTTGCTGAACGTTTAGCGGCTTTGAGGTTTATTTTATTGATCTGTTCCTGTCATTCTTCATCGAACTTGCTTGATCTTCTTGCTTGAGATTCGGTTCGGTCCTTTTGATAGGTTACCGCTACAGTTGGTTCTACACCGTAACACATATAGAAAGGGGACCGTTCTAGTCCGGCTGTTTTTGACGTTCGGTAACCAAAAAGAGCTAAACCCAGGTGTAAATCCCATTCAGTTTGCTTGTCCGGTACACACATCTTTCTTATACTGCCGACCAACGTACCATGAAATCTTTCAACCAATCCATTTGATTGTGGGTGATACGGAGAGATTCTGTTATATTTGATGTTGTGGTCAGCTAAGAATCTTTGGTATACCATACTATTGAACTCGCTCCCGTTATCTGTTGTGATGGAGTGGGGAAAACCATGATTTTCTATGATAGTTTTGACTAACTTTACTGCTGCAAGTCCCGACCTTGCAGCCAGTGCTGTTGCATATGCCCATCCCATTCCGTAGTCGATTGCCGTTATCAAATATTGATTTCCTCGTGGAGTTTTCGGTAACGGACCTACAAAGTCCATGCCCCAAGTGACGAAAGGTGCCTTCCTTTTGATTACTTGTAATGGCACTTTGTTTCGGTCGGAATTTGGTTTACAGTATTGACACGATGTACAGGTTTCTATCGTGTCTTCGACTATCTTTTCAATCAGTTGGTGTTCTGGTGGTGAGTACGGTTGGCCATGGACCTTGGCCGGTGCGCTGTTGCCGGTATCGATGTCGTGTTTGAATACCTTGTCTTTCGGTAACCCTACAACTTCCCAAAATGCTTCTGGAGCTGTCCCGTATGCGATCTTCGCAAATTTGTTGTCTAATGAACCTAGCTTCATATCACAGACAATGGAGCTCAGGAGATCGTCTTTGACGCAATAACTCAGATTGTAAGGTTTCACGTTCACGAACTTATTCTCTGCGTCCAAGAACGTGTAGCTGAGGTTGTCGTAGTCAGGTACTGCGCGTGTTTGACATAGCCAAGGAAGGCCTAAGACGAGATCCATCTCAGGCAGGTTGATTAGAAAGGCTTCGACCTGTGTAACGTTGTCGTCGATACGTAAGTCAAACTTTGCCTTCATTTTCACCTGTTCGATATGGCCGTTTGCCAACGGTATGTTCCGCGGTTCTACATAGACAATCTCGATTTCGCGTCGGTTGTATAACTCATCCGCCACCGCCACGTCTAAGTAGACGGCTCCTGCCCCTGAGTCGATGATAGTATCGCAGATAACAGCACCAATGCCAAACTCGTACCTTGGTAGAGTTTTTTCATCTTCATCGAGGTGGTTTAGATCTAACGGTGGTGGTGTCTTCTCCAGTTCGGCTGGGCTATCCCCCATCCAAACGACGCTTGAAGTATCTGAATCCGATTCGAGTTCGAATTTGTAA